TTAGGGACGGCTAGCGCAGATAGCCCTCGTGTAGCTTTGCGCGAAATTCAAAAAACAATCGTTCAGAGTTGGGTCGAACCAATCAAAAAAGCAGCACATAAATTTGTTGTCGAAGTTAACCTCTTTCGACTACTATTTTCGGTGTCCAAAAACTTTGATATTTGAGTACAAACAAAACCAAAAGCGTTTGAATAAGAGGAGTGAGACAGCATTCTGGACTTCGTCATTTTCGAAAGAAAATAAGCTAGTGATTGAAATGTTAAAGAAATTCCTTCATTGTAATATTTGCTAAAACACTTTCCAGATATAATCTTATATACTTTATTTCTTTTCTTTTTGAGTTTTCTGTGGATTCGGTTTCGGAAATTCTATTTATTCTATTTTTTTCCTTAATATTTTGCTTCCAATAAATATCTCACCTGTCACCACATACACATCGACTACATTTATTACATTTAAATCACATTTGTTCACTTTAGATTTTCAAGGCTTTGGATCGCCCTCTGATGTTTCCAGAATGTTTTACATTCGTTTTCTACACTTAAAAACAGGTAATCACACAGAAGAAAAACAAAAGAAGAGGAGATCCTCAAGAGCCGCAGCTGTAATTAGATCTCAAATTGGTATAGAGATGAAGCTATGAGCTAAAAGTTTGTACATGAAAAAAAAACAAAAAAAACTCAGAGCCTTTCTATGAGCCGTTATGCCGCGGCTGAAAAACAACAACCTGGTTCTGGCCAGAAAAATGAAACATATTAGTCAAAGAAATGACAAAGAACGTTGAATACTGACATTTCGTTGCTCACTGTAGAATTTATAATCTACGACGATTGTCCTGCCATGTATTTAACAAATTAAAGTGTTTTCTGGATATTAATTCTCCAGATTTATCCCCAATCCGGAACTGGATAAGTTGAGAATTTAGGGTTAAAACCAAAATGAAAGCAAGTACCAAAGAGGTTGTATATTTGTTGTTAAGCACGAAGCTACACAATGGGCTTTCTATGCTCTTCTCACCACGGGTATCGAAACCCAAATTTTAACATTATAACCTCTCCAACTTACCGCTGAGTCACCAGAGGGCATAATGGAAAGACTGAAACTAAACGAACCTTATGATGGTTTGTTTGTTTGTAGTTAAGCACAAAGCTATACAATGGGCTATCTGTCCTCTGCCCGTTACGGGGATCAAACTCCTGTTTTTAGAGTTGTGAGAAATAGAACAAATGGGGCAACGTTTCGGGCAAATTACTTTCGTTGGAACCATCTCGTGAAAATAATTAAAAATTTGATACGAGAGAAAAACTTTAAGATAATAAAATAGCTAGGGTCGATTTTTAATTCGGTCTGTCGAGATATCTCTCTGCAATAACATAACTTATTACAAACATCCTCGTTACTTTACTTTTCAGAACAGTTGTGATATCTTATCCTGCAGGCTTACCCTAAATTAGTCTAAGTTATCCTGAATGAATCTAATGAAGAAATAACAAAATCTATTCACTGATTTTATACTAACTCTAAGTTAGAATAAATATTATTAAATATTAAATATTAATAATATTATTAAATATTATTCTTACCCTAAATTAGTCTAAGTTATCCTGAATGAATCTAATAAGAAATAACAAAATCTATTCACTGATTTTATACTAACTCTAAGTTAGTCTTTCCCAGATCAAATTCTTCGAAGATGATGTTGATGATGTAATTTTCTCCTGAGATGAAGGTGTAGAGGATACATCTAATGTTGTCCTCATAGGGAACAGGCCAGTTTGGTGACGTGAAAATACCGTACTCTTTGCCATACGTACTGTCAAATACGATGCACCCGCAATCTGTCGGTAGAAATGTAACCATAAGAATCAAAACCAAAACCACAGTTGAATTAAAAATCAAAACCAAAACTACAGAAGGCATGTTCTTCTAAGTTGAATAGCATTAAAATGTCATATTCCTTGCTGTATTTGATTAGAGACTAACAAAAGAACCATTCTATATAATATAGATTTTAGGGTTGTAAGTCCCTCAACTTACCGTTGTTCCACCGGGGGTCAATTAACAAATAAATGGGTGATAATGCTTGAATGAAGAAAAAATTTAATATAAGTTTAACATAACAGCAAATGTACAACGTTCCGACAAGGTTTTCTCATCATCAGTAGCCAGCACCTGGGTTCTCTCTTGATGTACTTACTAGTAGCCAGCACCAGGGTTCTCACCCTCAGGGCAAACAAAATTCCTGACTATCTTTAACCTTAAAGCAAATAAAACTTCTGAATGTTTCCTGAATTTAAAGCAAATAAAATTCCTGACTCTTCCTTAACCTTAAAGCAAATAAAATTCCTGACTATTCCATAACCTTAAAACAAATAAAATTCCTGACTCTTCCTTAACCTTAAAGCAAACAAAATTCCTGACTATTCCATAACCTTAAGAAATTCTTCTTCGACTGAAATGCGACAAAGATGATTTTAATGGCACACACAACCTCTCAGGTCAGTCTTTCTCCCCTATTTATTGAACTCGCCCAGTGATGATTTAAGATCCTAAAAGTAGATATGAAGTCCAATTTATAATTCCTCGAAACTGTCACATCTCTGTGAAAAGTATCTCAAACAGCTGGTCTGCTGAATAATTTAGAAAAATATAATATTAGCATCAATGCTGAATTTTTTTCAAATCCTTTATAACGTAGGTTCACTCTGGTGGCCCCTAGTGGCGGCTCAGCAGTAAATCTGATGGCTTATAACGCTAAAATCAGGGTTTCGAAACCCGTGATGAGCACAGCACAGATAACTTTGTGCTTAACTACAAACAAAACAAAAAATCATACTGGTAATTATAAGATAACCCCCAAAATTATAGAATACTAATTTCCTAGATTTGTCCCTGCCTTTGAAACGTATTTTTTCTAGAATTTTCCTTGATCGTTAAAAGCATAATTTAATGCTTATTTAAGTTAAACTGACCTACCTTCTAAAGAATGTTAGCGGTTAAATAAAAGGTACTGAAACAAAGGTCAGTAAGGTAAATTTTGTAAAACTTTTAAACTTTGAGTAGCTGTTTAATGATTTCACTAACTCTGGTTTTTTGTTTTGTTATTTTAGTACTGGATTTGATAAAAACTTGAAACTTTTTATACATTTTTCGTATTTCAAACTGAGCAGAATTATGATTTGATATACTTTAAGTTTGATCTTATGATACAGAATTTTTCATGTTTAGAACCAAAAAATGCGTTTTACCTTCAAATAGAGCAGGAACAAAAGTATGTCGAGGAAAGAATAGGCTAAGGACTTCGGTTCTTTTCTTATAGAGTTTTTTACTATTACGAAAAAGAGGTATTATATTCCTAAAAAAATGCCTAAATGTAGTAATCAGAGCAGACAGTAGGTTTAGTACTTTATATTTTTTCATAGAAAGTTCTTTAAGATTAGAGCAAAACTACAATATTTTACTTACAGAGACAGTCGAAAGGAAATAGACCAAGCAGAAAGTAGGCTTAGCATTTTGTTTTTTCCATACTTACTTACTTACAGAGACAGTCGAAAGGAAGTAGACCAAGGACACAGTAGGTTTAGCACTTTGTGTTTTTCCATAGAATGTTATTTAAGAGTAGAGCAAAACTATAATATTTTACTAACATCGACAACCAAAAAAAATAAAAAATAGACCACGCAGAAAGTAGGCTTAGCACTTTTTTTCATATAAAGCTCTTTAAGATAAGGGCAAAACAACAGTATTTTACCTGCAGAGACAGCCGATACGAGAGTAGATCTGGGAGAAAGTAGGCTTAGCACTTTGGTGAGGAACAACACTGATTGTGATATGGTCTGAAAAACAATAATAAGAAAATAATGTTTATCGTTTAGTAAACTAAAGATTATAGTATACATAAATAAGACTTGTACAATACCTCAGAGTTTTGTTTAAGAAGAACCGCAATTTGGATTTCATATAATTTTTCTATATTAATGAGTTTATAGGGGGTAATAAGTATGTGACAGACAAACAGACAGAACCTTTATCAGCAAAAAATTAATTTGAATATGTTTGCATTTCTAGCGGGAATGTATTTTGTAATGACAGTTCCTGACAATTATACATCTGTTTGAAACATGGAAGACACTTAATCAGTTTCAGGCGTAATTTAAAACAGTTTTGTTTTCGGTTTCACGTTCAGTTTCACAAGGTTTTGTTTTCAGTTTCACGTTAAGTTTTAAAAACTTTGTTTCAGTTTTATTTGCAAACTTAGATAGTTTTGTTTTCAGTTTCATATATAAATTCAGATAGTTTTGTTTTCAGTTTTATATAAAGATTTAGTTGGTCTTCTCTTCAGCTTCACGTTAAGTTTTACAAGGTTTCGTTTTCAGTTTCATAAGCAAACTGAGCTGATTTTATTTTCGGTTTCATATATAAATTCAGATGGTTTTGTCTTCAGTTTCACGTTAAGTTTTACAAGGTTTTGTTTTCAGTTTTATATAAAGATTTAGCTGGTCTTCTCTTCAGTTTCACGTTAAGTTTTACAAGGTTTTGTTTTCAGTTTTATATACGGATCTAGATGGTTTTGTTTTCAGTTTGAAAACATTTCTCTTCATCAGGTTAAGTGTTAAATAAATTTATTTTATTCTAAACTGTTTGTAGAATGATATCTATCACCAACCTGCTTTTTTCGTGTCCCCATCGTCTTGGCTTGGAATATCCAGAGACTGTATAGTTAACTTTGAATTTAGCATTGAGGGAATCTCGTGTTTTTGTGTGTTAAAACTTCCAATCCCATCTCTACACGAACCTGTTAAATGAATAAACACAAATAAATCTGTTTCACACACATTAAACCAATTTTATTCGATGGATAAAAAAATATACATTGTCAGTGGATTTTTTAAAATTTCCGTTCACAAAGAGAAGATCTTGGGTTATTATTTTTTTTCAATAGAAAATTAAAAATCAGACCGTGAAAAAGTTAGCCGTGGTCTCGTGATAAAATGAAAAACAAAGAAAGATAAAATTAAATAAAATGTGTATATTCTTTCCTAAAGATAAACTGGTCTTATCAACAAAAAAAGTGCGAACATAATGTGGGTTAAAAGTGGGCATTAGCACCAGCTTTCCAAGAAATTATTGTATACTTTAATTGTATCTCAATAATGGGATGTAGCCACTATTTACCGACAATTTTTTTTTTATTGTGCTCAGCATTTTGGAGTCTGTGTCAGTTATAATTGTGACAGTCAAATCCCGCTATAAAATTATTATTGAACAAGTTTCTGTTTATTTCGTATTAAAAAGTCACACTTTTACGCATATACGTATTTTTTTCAGTGATGTAATTTTGCAAGTTAGCCCTGACGAGTGGTGGGCAGTCCCCCTGAAATGACCGGATAAGCTTATATAGACTGGCGCGTCAATACAAAAAAAAATGCAGTTCCCCACCCCTGGAAATTGTGAAAAGTAGTAGTTATGTTTTAACTGAAACAGTTATAGCTTTACATGATTATCAATAACTAGTTATCACCTCTAAAACATCTCCAACTTTCTGATTTTAACTTTCTGTTGTATGAAATGACGTCAGATGCAGGGCATTTTCGCCAACAACAGCCGGAATGGTAAGACAAACCAACAGATAAAACTCCGGATTGTAGTACCCAAATTTTCTACTGGGTTTTAAGAAGTCAGCACAGAGTTCAACAAGTTACTGATACTGTTTAGGCCTGTTCCACAAGGTGGATAAATTAAAACATAAACAAGTTTAGTCCAGTTCCACAAGGTGGATAAATTAAAACATATACAAGTTTAGTCCAGTTCCACAAGGTTGATAAATTAAAACATATACCAGTTTAGTCCAGTTCTACAAGGTTGATAAATTAAAACATATACCAGTTTAGTCCAGTTCTACAAGGTGGATAAATTAAAACATATACAAGTTTAGTCCAGTTCTACAAGGTTGATAAATTAAAACCTATAAGTTTAGTCCAGTTCTACAAGGTGGATAAATTAAAACATATACAAGTTTAGGCCTGTTCTACAAGGTGGATAAATTAAAACATATACAAGTTTAGTCCAGTTCTACAAGGTTGATAAATTATAACATGCAGTAATTTGCTCCTCTAGAGACGTAACCAGATGGTTAACGTGTCTAGTTGTCCATCGAAAGGTTCGAGTATGCGATATTCTGCTAAACGTACTTTCAGCTGTAGGTGCATTAATAAAAGTGGCAGTCAGTTCCGCAATTCGCTGAAGAGTAGCTGTGTAGGCGGAAAGTGCTGTTGACATATAGTTCTTCTCTTAACAGCTCTATATTAGAGAAATCTCTGTCTAAGCCTCGGCGTTTTTCAATTGGCCGTTTGGCGTATGTGTCACGTATGGTACCCTTCGGGTTCACAATGCCAAGTTTCTATAACAAACCAATACTTTCCTAGTGATTTTACGGTGTGACGTCACAGTGCATTGTGTTGAAACACGATAAATACTTCTCTCGTTATTAATAATCGATGTAGTACCGGTTCTAGAAGGCCTTGCTGATGATATTAAGCTAAAGTTTAGGGTTATAGAGTCATTAAGATCATCTGTACTGTTTATAATCAAAGCAGTACGTTTTGTTTTGTTTCATTAGCTCCCAACTGACGTAAACTTGATGGAAATGTCAATAATGCGAGATGAAAAATCTATTCGGTCGGTGGAAACACAACTTTCTAGTTAACTGTCATCGAGGCTATCTATTTGTTTGTCCGTTTATCTGTCTGTATATTTCTGTCTACGTATCTAAATCTCTGTCTGTCTAGCTATATATCTGTCTCTCTATCTGTATATCCGTCTATCTCTGTCTGCCTATCTATATCTATGCCCTGATCAGAGGGTTGTACGACAGCTAAAACATCTTGAAATGATAAATCCCCATTTCTGGAGCTCTGATCAGAGGATTGTACGACAGCTAAAACATCTTGAAATGATAAATCCCCATTTCTGGAGCTCTGATCAGAGGATTGTACGACAGCTAACACATTTTGCAATGATAAATCCCCATTTCTGGAGCTCTGATCAGGGGGTTGTACGACAGTTAAAACATCTTGTAATGTTAAATCCCCATTTCTGGAGCTCTGGTCAGAGGGTTGTATGAAATACAGTGAATATTATTTATAACAGCAGAACTGAGATACAGCTTGTTATAATTTGAATATATCTTGGTCATTCAAACCTACACTTTAGGCCCTGCACATGTATAAAATTACATTACCCTGCACATGTATACCTATTACAGACGTTCTCAACTACATCCAACTGGTTTAGTGAACAATAATGGCAGCCTGATGTGTCATGGGTAGCCAATCAACATCAAGTTCGGAGTAGCTTAAGATTCAGTGCACTGAATTTAATTTGGGTTGATTTAACGACCAATATAAGTCGTGTTATTTTTGCAGACGATAAATCCCTAGTGTTAGCTCATACCGGGTCGCGATAAAATATGTAAAAAACTGAATCATTATCTATTAGTGAAACATGAAGGTTCTTCTGTCTCAGACGCAGAACGGTTGATTGAATAAAATCGGTCTTTGTTCATTCGAGGGAACAGAGATTAAATCAGAATGGACAAGTTACATCCTAAGCTTTATGTTTTTAACACGTGACTGAACAATTGGTAATGTTCAACATTAGAAATATGAACAAAACATAGATAATGGATATTATTATTATTAACTTCCAATCAGATTAATCTCTCCGCTTAGAACAAAAATAAATATTAACCTGGCCATCAGTATAATTTACTTTATGTTTATACTTATAAAGATTTATTTCATCAGTTGGGTACCTTCGCTGTTAACGATACTTTTGGCCATAAACCCAATAATATCTCATGAGATTCGGTCAGCTTAGGAGATTTAGGTTAGTCCTAATTCCATATACTAAGTTAATAATGAAAAATAACTTCTACAATAAAAGTTGAATACTCAAAAATGAAACTAAAACGTAATGACATTCGATATATTAAAGAATACAACCAATAATTTTATTGAAAGTAACAATAAATATATTATATTAGACCTTATTTAGAGAACGTATACATGAAAGTTAATAATAACGTTCTACATCAAAAATACAAACGAGAGATAAATAAAAATGCGCCACTTTCAGTCATGTTATTTTGACGTTATGTTATATTTCTTTATTTATGGTAACTAAGTAACCAACAACAGATATTCATAGTTTATTACATTTACAGGTCCTGTATATGTATAACTTCACAGCTGCAAGTACGGGCCCTACTCATGTATAAATTCACAATTATACTTACAGGCCCTACTCGTGTATAAGTTCACTACTATACTTACAGGCCCTATTCGTGTATAAGTTCACAACTATACTTATAGGCTTACTCATATATAATGTTACAGCTACATTTATAGGCCCTATTCATGTATAATGTCACAGCTACAATTACAGGCCCTGCACATGTATAATGTCACAGCTACAATTACATGGCCCTGCACATGTATAAATTCACAATTATACTTACAGGCCCAACTCGTGTATAAGTTCACTAATATACTTACAGGCCCTATTCGTGTATAAGTTCACAACTATACTGACAGGCCTTACTCATATATAATGTTACAGCTACAATTACAGGCCCTATTCATGTATAATGTCACAGCCACAATTACAGGCCCTGTACATGTATAAGGTTCAAGTACATTTATGGGTCCAGTTACGGTTTGGAAGAGCTATAAGCCTAACTTTCTTGTGAAAATAAACATAGAATTTAAAGTACATACCGATCACCTTCTGGGCATCTCGATTCTGACTTTACGAAGAATCGCTTTATTTCATTAAATCTGCGCTTGTTATATGGAAGTTAGTAGAAGTGTTTGTTTTAGTGACGCAATTCAAAGCCGCCCGACCAATCTCACTAGCCTGCCAACCTCTTAATGATCTTGCTGATCACCGAAACCTGATCAATTTGAAACCGTTAAGCATACCGTAATATCAGAAAAGGAAAATTGTGAATATCGTATAATATGAGATCTTGTATTACATATCTGGTGTCATGTTAGCAAAATGAATTAAGTAACAACTAGAAAAGTCCCCGTGCTACGCGCGGCATTAAACGTCACATTCGTTTGACATCGGCTTCACGTATTTTGCTACCAATTTCCTCGCTCAGCTCAGCACTTATATGCGGCATTAAGATGGTCAAGTCAAAATGGCCGCCAAACTCGGATCGTCCCTTTAATTACACATCCGTCTGAACTCTATCTTTAGATGGTCAATCTCATGTCCTTTACCTATCGAAATTGGTTCATCCAGTTCCTCCTAACAACATGCGACACCAGACAGACAGGTGGACAACTCTGCTTTACATATATTAAATATGTAAATACATATGACAAATTACTAATTAAACATATTTTCTATTGCTCGTTTAATAGGGCGAATTCTACAGTTAAATGAACTGGTAAATTGACTTAAAAGATCGTATTACTAATACTTTAGCTTTTCTGTCAATACATTGATTCTGTGACTGCAAGAGAAAGAACAAGATATGTTTGGTGTGGTTTAAATATTCGTGGAAAGCTACCAAGTGTACTCTAATTTTAAATTGTTAGACTAGAAGCAAGGCAGCTAGTCAACATAATTTTAAATTGTTAGACTAGAACCAAGGCAGCTAGTCAACATAATTTTAAATTGTTAGATTAGAAGCAAGACAGCTAGTCAACATAATTTTAAATTGTTAGACTAGAAGCAAGGCAGCTAGTCAACATAATTTTAAATTGTTAGATTAGAAGCAAGGCA